AGGAGGTGATCAGGCTGGCAGGCAGAAGTGGTTAGGGGCAATCAGGCAGGCAGGCAGGCAGGCAAGTGGTTAGAAGCCAGAAGTCCCAGATTGTGAGAGGGATGTCCGACTGCTGGTGGGATTGGGCCTAAACTGGCAGTTGGACATCCCATGAGGGGTCCCTTATTGGAGAGGGTGCAAGTTGGGCTGAGGGACACTTCCCCCAGTGAATGAATTTTGTGTACTGGGCCTCTAGTTTTTTTTATAATTGATTAGTAGACATTTAAGTAGATAACATTTAAATAAAGAACATGCTCATTTCTCTTGTAGGCAATTTCTGTGATTGCTTTCATGCAATCAGTAGTTGAGTTGGGTTAATATGTTTTAGGCCAAGATTTCTCTTTGCTTTTTCCCTTCCTAAAAAATCTTTTGATAGTCCAGGTTATTTTTAAAAGTTGCCCAAATAGATTTGCCTACTGAAATTTATTTCTGTTACACAATTCTGTAATAAGCAGAGGTAATAAAATTCATTTTATTGTTCTTAAAGTTGGATTCAAAATTATTAAGTTCACCTTACATATATTCTGTTCATTATTGTAGTGGGTGGCGACATGATTAATATTTGGTAACTGTCATGAGCATTAAAATTTTTTTCTTCTCAGTGTATAATTTTTCTTACTGTTGGGGGCTTATCCATGGCATAGATTGGTGAAATGTGAAGTCTATTTCTTTATTTCTTCTCACTCTCCCTATCATCATTACCTATAATTCATTAACTAGGCTCAGCTATCTGGAGGTTGCCCCCAGAATTTTCAGTGTGGGGCAGTGAAAGAAGAAGCTAGAAATAATTAGAAAGTATTTAAAGTCTAGTGATGTCAGCACCACATGGCCACACAGTGATGTCAGCAGGGATGGAGGCACAGACCTGTGGTAGCAAGGTAACTAAACTGTTACTATGATGTGGCTTTTCTTTGGGTTCTGCAGACCCAATCCTTTGGTTCCTGCCCTTTTTCTGAGCCCATTTCTCTATCCAGACTTCTCATAAGCTAACCATGCTTGATTTTAGTGGCCTACAAGCAAGAACCCTCACTGATATAGGCCCCTTCTGAATGCCAGGTGCCAGTCTAGATGCTGAGGTCATAGAGATGAAAAGATATGGTTTCTGCTCACAGAAAAGTACAATATAGTGAGGAACTAGATATATTAAACAACAAATTTACAATAATATGTACCAGTAGAAATGTATAATGTGTGTGTATGTGTGTGTGTGTGCATGCACACTATAATGGAGGTATGTGTAAAGACAGAGGAGAAGAGAAATGAGTGCCTATGCTCTATGCTTGCTTAGGGAGTTAGGCACATACATGGAGTGGTGACTCTGGAGCTGAGACAACAGCTGGCAGAGGAAAGTGGTTGTGCAGCTGGGTGGCAAAAAGATTTCAGACAATGGGGCTAGCGTGGTCTATCATAGTGAATGATATCAGGGAATACCCATGAGTCACTAAGGCAATGGGATGGATGCAAGGTGAGAGAATGACAGGAGGAAAGACTGTGGATGGATGCCACACTAAGGTATTTAGAATTTGGAGAAAACATACTATTAGGTAGATCTCTCTAGAAAGGAGAGGGTGGATGAGTAATAGTCAAGAGGTGAAGAAACCTGTTAAGACTGTGGTGTTTCTCTAAGCAAATTTTACATTTCAAAGGGCTGAAATAACATCTCTTTACAATATCAACTAAGCTCCTTTTGCAAACTCACAGGTATAATGTCTCAATAGCAGATCTGACTTTTTTTGACTTCTAAATATTAAGAGCTAACAAGTAAATCTTTTTTATCTTTCATGATCTTAGTTCATTTGTCATGATATATCCATTCTATCTCACCCTTTACATGCTATTGGAAAGCAATAACAACACTTACCTCAGTTGTAAATGTTAAAAAAGAATTTTGAATTATCACTCAACACATTGAAAAGTCAATATCTTTCTTTTATTTTTGAAGATTTGTCTCATGCTGATTTTATTTATTTAATTCTTTTTTAACTTTATTGGGGTGACATGGGTGTGGGGGGACTGATGGGGGCCACTGGCCAGGAGGAGAGACCACAGGCAGTTGGCCAGCTGGCCCCACCCCCTGGTCAAACTCCTGGTTGAACTCCCAGTCGAGGGGACAATTTGCATATTAGCCTTTATTGTATAGGATAGGCTTCAGGTGTACATTTCTATAATACATTATCTGTATATTGTATGGTGTGTTCATCACCCAAAGTCAAGTTTCCTTCTGTCACTATTTATTCCCCTTTCTCTTCTTCTACCTCCCACCCCCTTTCTCTCTGGTAATCATCATACTGCTGTTTGCATCTGTAAATTGTTTTCATTTTATTTTATTAATCCCTTCACCTCTAAAGTGTCCATTTCTTGACTGTGCATGTTGCTAGCACTGCTAAAGGAATGAGTGAAAGCAGAAATGAGACAAGGGTAACAATTAGACTGACGTAAATTCCTGAATGACTGAAGAGATGAAATGTGCATGGGGACAAGGAGTTATTGATAATGAGATCCTGATGGTACAACGAAAAGCAACAGGATGTTTCAAAAAATTAGCATAAGATAATGATCAAGGCAGAGAAGTTTCTTTATGCAGAAGGCAACATACCCAAGACTAAGTTCTGCCCGTAGATGATGTTTTCCCCCTCCAGTCACTGTGTTCTCTTCTTGCTTTAGACTAGGCTGCAGCCGGGTGGATGAGGAAAATTGTGCTAATGATCATATGGTAGGGAGGTTTTGAGGATAGAAGAGAGCAGGAAGGAAGAAGCAATAAAATGAAGAGGAAGCAGAGTTAAGAAGTGAACAGAGTCTCAGAGTCAGTAAAATCAAACAGATAAACTAAAAAAAATTGAGCTACTGCCTGGTTTAAATAGGAATTGTGGCTCAGTCAGGAGTCTAAATCCTCATTATAGCAGTTGTTCCAATCATTCTTAACTGTTTGTTGAATCAAAACAATCTAAATAAAGTTGGATTATAAAGAGGGAGAAGAAGGCAGTGCTGCCAAGAATTGAAAAAAAAAAAAAAGAGCTGATGCAAGAAGAGATGATGGAGATGATAAAATGTTATTGGTCTAAAATAAGAATGTAAATCATTTATAATAGATGAAGTGAAAACCAGGAAATATGGAAGAATGTTAAGATTCAGGAAGCTGCACTGCCGGTATTGTCTGTGTCATTTAGGGTAAAGTTAATTTCACAATTTAACATTTTAAACAAGTTTTCTCTTTCCTCTTACCCTTTCACACTTAAAGTTTTTGTTGAAATTACAAAATGGATACATGCTTATTGTAAAATTTATGGAAATGTATTTAAGCAATTTCATTGAAAATTTTTTTTGGTTATTTCTAATTTTTTGCAATGACAAACACTCTTAAGATGTTTATATTTATGTTTCATATGTTTCTGTATTAATGTAGGATAAAATCTGCTGGGTCAAAGCAGTTGTGTACTTATTTTGAGAAATATTACTAAATAGCTTGTTGAAGTGTTGTGATAAATTATACTTGGCTTGGCCTCTATGGCTCAGTAGTTGAGTGCTGACCTATAAACCAGGAGGTCATGGTTCGATTTCTGGTCAGGGTACATGCTCAGGTTGCGGGATCTGTTCAAGTGGGTGGCAGGCAACCAATTGATGATTCTTTCTCATCATTGATGTTTCTATCTCTCTCTTCTGTTTTCCTGTTGAATTAAAAAAAATTATACATGCATAAAAGTGCATGATTGTGCTAATTTTCCCTTACATTCACCAACATTGGATATTATCATTCTTTTAAATCTTGGCTTGTCTTATAAGTAAATTAATTTCTTGTTGTTTAAATTGGAATTGATTAGTAGTAATGGGAATAGTTTTAGGTGCTTACTGGTGGTAATGTTACTTAAAAATAACTTGTAAGACTTCCTATATAAATTGATATTTACCCTCTATCATAAATGTTGAAAGTACTTTCTTCCAGTTTACCTTTGTTTATAGTATCTTTTCATATAAAAGTATTGTGGTTTTATGTAATCAAATGTGTCAGTCTTTTTCTTTAGGGTTTCTGGGTTTTATATCTTGATTAGAAAGAATTATAGAAATACTAGAGGCCCGGTGTACGAAATTTGTGCATGGGTAGGGTCACTAGGCCTCATCAGCAATCAGGGACAATAGGGGCCTTCTGGCTGCCAGCTGGGCTGGAGCCTTTTTTTCCGTAGCTTCCAGCTGCTGGCCACTGACCAGGGCCTTCCTTCATTCCGCACCACCCCGTGGTGGTCAGTGCACGTAATAGCAAGTGATCGTGCTGAAGTTGGTTTGGCTCAGTGGACAGAGCGTCGGCCTGCGGACTGAAAGGTCCCGGGTTCGATTCCGGTCAAGGGCATGTACCTGGGTTGTGGGCACATCCCCAGTAGGAGATGTGCAGGAGGAAGCTGATCGATGTTTCTCTCTCATTGATGTTTCTAACTCTCTATCTCTCTCCCTTCCTCTCTGTAAAAAATCAATAAAATATATTAAAAAAAAATAGCAAGTGATCGAACTCTTGAGGGGAAAATTTGCATATTAGGCTTTTATGTACATAGATTCTCATTCACATCACTGCCAGATAGTGGGACTCAAAATCTGGTTCTAAAATTTATAGGACTAATTAAAGCACTTTAGGTAATCAAATTGACAGAAAATATTAGCCACCTTAAAAGTATTTAACAAATTATTGAAATTATTTTAATAAAAACCTACCTTTTGTGTGATCATTCCTTCTTTATCTTTCTAACATTACAGCCTCCACCAACAACTGCATGCTACTCAGAAGGCTAAGTGAAAGTTAAAAGACCTTTCTATGACAAAAAAAAAAGAGAATACAATTCTCATTTTGCAATTCCTGTTGTGAATAGAATATAAGGTACATTCTTTATTTAGAGAAGCTGTCATGCTATGTGGACCATTTATTGGCATATCAATGTGTTCCCACATAATAAGCCAGTGAAGGTGGAGATGCGTACATGTGTCAACACTGCTGTGAGTAACAGCTCTTGATGGTATATTCCTGCATCCACCATCACCATAAAGGCATTGCTGGATATCAAGCTCAATATTGAATAAGCCACACCACACTTTCCCAAATAAGTATGAGGTCATCAAGGCTTGAGGAGAGAGGAAACATAAGAATTGCGATCAGTTACTAAACTTGATTGTCTCATACAGTTATATCTGGCCATTTTCCTATCCCAGTGTATAGAAACCCCACCTATATTTTAAGGCTCAGCTCTTTCTCTATGTCTACTTTAATCTCCCAATCCAGGATTCATATCTGTTTTCTGAATTTTGGCCCTGTATGTACACCACTCTTCCCCAAGGATCTATTTCTATCTTACTTTCTAGTTATTTAAGCTATAACATATTCTTTTTTTAAAAAAAAAATGTCTTGATTGATTTCAGAAAGGAAGGGAGAAGAAGAGAGAGAGAGAGAGAAGCATTAATGATGAGAGAGAATCATTGATCGGCTGCCTCCTGCACAACCCAGGATTGAGCATGCAACCTGGGCACATGCCCTGACTGGAAATCAAACCATGACCTCCTACTTCATAGGTCGGCACTCAATCACTGAGCCACAGTGGCCAGGCATTTTCTTATTCTTATTAAAATGTAAACTCAGTGAGGGATAGATATTTGTCTAAATGAACTTGACATTTCCTCACAGTGCTTATTATGATGATCTCACTTTTCTAAGTAGGTAAAACTGGAATTTAACTCTATTGGAGAGAAAGACAAAAAAATCAACATTAAAACTTGGGAAAACAAGAGCCAGTAAAATTACTAAAAAATGGATACTAACCTAGGTAGTGCAGTTGGAATGGCTACCAAACAGAAAAATAAGTCCAAATTTGGCTTTCTTACTTTTTCTGTGAATATCTTTAAAAAAAATATCTCAGACTGCTATGACTTTAGTAGTGGTCTGTTTTGCTTTTTTTTTTTTTTTAAATATATTTTAGCCTGGGTGGGTAGCTCAGTTGGTATTAAACTTTAAGTCATAGCAAATAAGGACACAAAAATAGGAAGAACTAGGAAGAAGAAAAAATTAACATGTCTAACAACTGATCTGTATTTTAAAATTTATGATTAGTCTTTCCATCCATCTGGATGATATTGGTCATTTATGTTGCTCTAATTCAGGCAACTAATCTTTACTGATTTTCTTTGACTTCCATTTTCAGTCTAATATAGTAAGTGTAGAGCAAAAGACAAAAAGATGTTTTGCATATAATAGGATTAAATCTTCTCAAACAGGAGTAAAAATTGCCCTAGCCAGTTTGGCTCAATGGGTAGTGTTGGCCTGCGGACTGAAGAGTCCTGGGTTCGATTCTGATCAAGGGCATGTACCTGGGTTGCAGAATCTCCTCCCTAACCTAGGCCTTGGTCAGGGCTCGTGCAGGAGGCAACCAATTGGGGTGTTTCTCTCACATCAGTATTTCTCTCTGTCTTTCCCTCTCTTTTCCACTCTCTCTAAGAAATCAATGGAAAAATATCCTGCAGTGAGGATTAAGAAAATAATAATAATCAAATAGGAGCGAAAATGATGTTTTATATTGTCATTTTCTTTGAACCATAGCGCTGGCTTGCGTATTCTTCAAAATCTACATTGCAGCCGCACACCTCCTGGCTAGCTTATATAGGCACACTTGAATTAGAGCAATGTGGTTATCTTCAATGTAAAAAAAGTTAATTAAATTGTTATCATTCCTCAATCATCAACAGAGGATAGTCAATAATCAATTTGAGATGGCAGGGAGAATGTTATATAAGCTGATACTGATATTTAAATAAAAGTTATTTTATTGAATCTGTCTCCTGACACAAAAATCCCTCTAGCATCCAGAAAATACTATAAAGGAATTCCGTAGGTCAGGGTTCACGTTTCACTTCTAATCACTGATTTCAGCCTCCTACCTCTTCTGCTAGTGTTTCATCCCCATCTTTATTTTTCTAAACTATCAGAGTTATGGACAAACAACTCAGTTGATAAATTTGAATTTTAGTTCCTTTTCTATTTGTATTTCTCCTCCTCTGGTAGGGATACTAATGATTTGTGAACTATCCAAAATGTGGGTATTAATAGGTAAAAGAAAGAAGAAAAATGCGATGGAGACCATATCAGCCCCAGATCCCTCTCTGAACAATAAATACTTAAATATAGGGCAATATGAAAATTTCCCCATCCTGTAAAAAATATGTAATTGGGCTGTAATTCAGCTCTTATCTTTATTAGTAGCATTTACACTACTATTAAGTGGGCTTATTTCTTTCTTTTTTACAAGTATATTTTTATTGATTTCAGAGAGGAAGGGAGAGGGGGGAGAGAGAGAAACATCAATAAGAGAGAATCACTGATTAGCTTCCTCCTGCACACCCCACCCTAGGGATTGAGCTTATGACCTAGGCATGTGCCCTGACTAGGAATGGAACCTTGGCCTACTGGTTCATAGGTCGACACTCAACCACGGAGCCACACCGGCTGGCTGGACTTATATCTCTTCTCTTATGCATGGTATTGGGGGCTGAGGAAAACCAGACAGCCATATTAATAGCTCTGGGCCTATCTGGGAGTGGGTTACATTTCCAGAAAGCTAATTTGTTTGCTAAAAATGTATTGCATGTCCCCCCTTTTAAAAGCTATTTTTGTATGTTTGTTTTGTTAGTTGTCACCTAAGGATATTTTCTCCACTGATTTTATTTTATTTTTGAAAATATTTTTATTAATTTCAGAGAGGGATAGAGAGATAGAAACATCAATGATGAGGGAGAATCATTGATCGACTGCCTCCTGCACACCCCATACTGGGGATTGAGCCCACATGCCCAGGCATGTGTTCTGACCAGGCATTGAACCATGACACCAATGCTCAACCACTGAGCCATGCCTGCCTGGCTTCTCCATTGATTTTAGAGAGAGAGGAAAGGAGGGAAAAAGAGAGAGAGAGAGGGGGAGAGAGAGAGAGAGAGGGGGAGAGAGAGAGAGAGAGAGAGAGGGGGGGAGAGAAAAATAAATGTGAGAGAGACACACTGATTGGTTGTCTTTTGCACTTGCTCTGGAGGGGGGAGGCACTGGGGATCGATCCTGTAACCCAGGTACAGGCCCTGGATCAGGAATTGAATCCAAGACTTCAGTGTAAGGCTGACACTCCAAACATGGAGCCACACTGGCAAGGGCACATGCCCCCCTTTTTTATGCACTGTACTTTCCAAGGCTTCCCAACATGGCCTTGGGGCAGGGCAAGGAGTGAAGGTGAGGAAAGACTCTAATCAATAGACAAAACTGCAGAAGTTGTTATATCACCAAGGTCTAGCCAGAGAACCATAAAAATGGAGCCAAAGTGATGAATCTGGGACCAATGTTCAGTTACTATTCATTCAATTAACATTCACAGATCACCGAGGATGGGCTAGCAAGGTTCTGGGAACAGAGCAGTAAATATATGAGTCACTGTACTTCCCACTGAATTTTCAGTCTAGGGTGGAGCTGGAGAGGCCAGGAGGAGGTACCAGCAGAAGAAGAGACAGTCAGTCATGAGGACAGAATGAAGTGTGGTCAGAATTGGGAAAATATGCTTCAGGTCATTAGTGTAAATGTTCCTTTTACATTGCCCTAACGTGGCTTTATTAAGTTCTAGGCACACAGTCAATGGGCTGAAAGATAAGGAGATAACTAAGACGTAGAATTTGAATGCACACCCCTAACTTTAGGAGATGCCACATGTGGTATGTAGGATTACTATTACACAGCAGAATGTGATCCATGCCATTTGAGAAGGAGGAAATAATTGAAAATGTAGTGAGTGCCACAACACTGGTTGTCTCACGTTCCTTCTTTGATGAAGCTGCCTTGCCCTCAGCTTCTAACTCAAAGAAGCAAGGATGGGCTATTTTTTGCCTCCGTGTGGCCAGTGTTTGAACTGGCAGTGTAGACCTGAGCCAAATCAGCTCTAGTCTATAGCCTTGTAGATAATACACGATGTAGCCTGGCCTGAAATTATGAACTGGCCAATTCCATTATTTTTCACTGGAACTGAGCTTAGAGCTGCTAACAGAACAAAGCAATTAGAGGGTTAAAAGTAAAGTCATGATTCAGAGAGTTGAGAATAACTGTGCAGTGAAAGAAACGGGATCAGCAAGTCAGGTCAACAAGGAAGCATTAGCATAGCCCTGGGGCACCAGAATGCCCTGGGCTCCCCGCCTCCATCTGACTTACAAGAAGACAACTTACCATTTCAGGATGTTACAGTACGACAAGAGCAGATTGGGGAGAACAGTGCTGGTAAAAACCTGAATTGGCTCAGGAAAGAATAGAAAAAAGACAATTCAAAGCAGCACATACAAAGGATAATTCTGAGGAATTTTTCCAAGCAGGGAAGATGAGAAATGGGGCAGTGACTAGAGGGAGTGGGGTCGGGATAGGAAGTTTGTTAAGACAGGGAAGATAACATTTTTGTGTTTGTAGGGAAGATGCAATGAGCAAAGGAACAATGATCATGCAGAAAATGTGGGACAGAGTTTCTGGAGTGATGTCCTTGAGCAACTGAGAGAGGGTCAGATCTGGTTGATACACAGAGTTCATCCTTTATAAAAGGAAGAAGATAGAGTACTGGTGCCGGGTGCCTGAACACAGGTAGCTGTGGCCATGATAGCTGGCGGAATTCTCTTCTGATTGTTTTAATTTTTTCGTGGAACTGGACATGGCGTGAGCAACTTGAGGGTAAAGAAGGGGTAGGAGGGATAGGAAATTTGAGGAGAGAGGAGAAGGTATGAAATTGTTGAATGAGAGAATGAAGAAACTGCAGAGACATCATGGAAGGCAGTATTCAGGGCACATTTGATAGTTAGTGATCATGAATTTAAAGTGAAACAAGTCAAGGTCAACTGCATTGTGGATCTGGTGTAGGCACTGACTTGGATTTAATAATACTGTGATTGGCCAAGTGAGGCCTACAAAGGGAATTAGGTATGGGGGTGTTGGGGTTTATGAAAAGGAATACAGTAATTGACTATGGAATTTAACCTTTTTTGGGGAAATAGGAAGTTGTAGGGTGTGTGTGAAAGGAAATAAAAAGGTCATAGGTAGAGGATCCTAGTTTTGGGAATG